CATCCTTTTGTTCTGTGTTTCTGTCTCTTGCCGGGGAGTCTGCTTGCCTGGCACTACAGCAATGCAAACAATAACGCCAAATAATACAGCCAGTCCCCGACGATCTCTGACAGGTTGCACGGCAAGCGACCTGAAAACTGACTGCTGCGGGTAAAAAACACAGCTCTGGGGAACCTTTTAATGAACTTTTTGAAGGTAATGTAGTGCTGCTTTACCTAACAGACTGAAAGTATTTGCATAGCAGAGGCCTGACCAGTTATTTTTTCTATTTTGGCTGCCTGCGTGTGTTGTATGGTTTTGTTTGGTAGTTGCTAATGTTTCTGATCTAAATTGCAGAACATGTTTATGGCCCAGGGAAGTTGCCCGACAGACAGCCTTAAGGGAATAGTTTGCTCAGAAACAATGACAGTCTGCATCTTCTCCAGAACATGTCTGACAGCAAGAAAAGTGCTTGGAGCTGAAGGTGTTCATCGTTGGTTAAGATGCAGTCTCCAGTCTGATACGGCTGAAGAGGAAGGCTAGGTTTGAGTGGATATTTATCTGCAGGCACTTTACCTTTCCCATTCATTTCAGTGAGCTTCCCTGGCTACTGGCAGGTTTTGATTAAGGTGAAGTAGGAAGCTATGGCTGGAGCTATAGCTCCTTACCCCTTGTCTGAGACTCTCTAATCTAAGGATAACAGATGAGGAATCAGTGTTTATTGAAAAAGTTGGAAAAATCAGGAAAAATACAAAACTAAATAAATCTGATGTGATTGATTCCCTCTGAGGCCTCAGTTTTCTTCCTTCATTTGACCACAGATACTGGTTATACAGCGTCATTGTCAGAAAGCGAATTTGCTAGTAAGCTCCCTCCTCCGAGCTCACATGGCCATTTTTTGATGACCTGCTAACTATTTAATTGTTCTAAGTATGAAAGGAGATTTTCTATAGGAAGTATTAACGAAGCATTGTTCATAGTGACGCAGTAGCTCTGACAGTAAGTGTTGCAATGTAATTCCTAAATTGTGTACGCAAGACACCTTCACTGTGACTGCACGTCCTGCTTCTGCGGCTTGTCCTGTGATTTGCTTTTTGACATTCTTGATGGTTCCGTCTCCATACCAAATAATGTATAGCATTGCATGATGATGCACTTGTTTAAGACTGTAGAAAAAACCAAGATGAGAAATACTATTTGAGAGCTAGATGTGATCATTAACTCATCATGCAATAAGGTTTAATCTTGCACTCTGAGCATCAAGACACATTTTACCACTGACTTTAGCCAGAGCAGAAAACAGTTCATAATCCATACACTGGAGTTAGGAGTGTCCTTTTGTCCTCAGCTTCACCATTTCTCATCTATTGCTTACTGTAGTTTTGACACTTTCCCTTCTTGCTTTGCTCAAGACACAGACACTTATTTTGCCCTCTTACTTAGACCCCTGCACCAGGGATTGTCATCTATGCACTTAAAAGGAGCCTGGCATAATCGAGCCCTAATCCTTGACAGGGTCCGTAAAAGTTATTGCAAGGCAAATGAATAATCCATAACCAAACACTCCTCCGGGAAGACTTTTAGGTGCCAGAGTATGAGAGTTCCACTGAACGGTACACAACTCCAGTGAACAGTGCAGTGATGGGATTCGTGAGAGCTGGGATTCCTCCGGGGTCCTGGATGTTCACATGCAGCTCTAACACAGAGTGGATACGCAGGTGCCTGTACCCTTCTTCATACGTCCCTGTCCATTTTGGAGTGTCCACAGCAAGCAAGAATCAGCTCTGGACAAGTCAAGCACTGCATTTTCCAAGAGCCTTCTGGCTGGCACCCCTGCAGGGACTTTTTGCACCTTCTGCTTCAAACAAGGTCAGCCACAAGTGGGCACTGTCCAACTGCGGCATCCCCGCAGACCTAGGCATAAGCACAGGCAGGAGCAGGCCAGGGAACTCGGGGCTAAGGGATTTGCTCCCAGTTAGGAGCAGAGCTCTCCACAAGAAGTAAACCAAAGCTCTGGGGGTGACTCGAGGGTGGCCAGCTCCGCTCATGCATTACGAAGTATATTTTTATATGAAATGTTCTGCCCATGGTAGCAGGGACAATGAAAAGGTATTTAAACATAAATGATGCTTATTTCTTTGGCAATGTCAATTTGAAAAGCAGTTGTTTCTGGATGTGCTTCTCTCAAGCACACACCCTGCGTGCTACGCTGGACGGCTCTGCTTTTATCCTGACTTCCTTCCAAGTGCTCATTCCTCTGCGCTTCCAAGTGTGCCACTTGAAGCTAATGCTTCTGTTGGTTTCTGTCCATATAGGCTATACCATTTACCATTTGTGGGAAGTCTCCCATTTACCAAAACTGTAATATTTTAGCCATTAGTAACATTTCTAGCAATTAAAGCTGCCACATAGTTTAGTCAAAGACATGATTGTGCTGTTTGCTGCTGTCTCCCATTAGGAATTTAGTTGCCTAAAACTTTCCGTGCTGTCCAGCAGAGCGGAATGGGCTGTTGACGGCTATGTGCTATTTTTTCAACTGCACTGGGATAGAAATGGGTTTGGTAGAATATTTTCACACTGAATTGCAAATGATCCCATGCAGCTATTCTTTTCTTCTCGGGAAATGTTTTCCATCTCTGGTCTCCAAACAGTTAAATGAAAGACAGCCAGTAAAATGGAGATCTCTTTAATCCTGGGATAGGCAATTGCAAACAGAATAGAGGACACCAACCTCTTTTTATTTCCCATTTAGGACCTGGAGGTAAAAAGCCAATATTCCTCTGTGAGATGCATCTAGCTAAACAGATGCTGAACCCATGTGTTCATTTTAGTCCACTCTGCCAGTTTATGGAGAGCAGAAATATTTACGTGCCAAAATAAGTCTCTCACCCCCTCCAAACCCACAAACTTGACTTCCAAACCAGACGGCTCCAGTGCAAAGTGCCTGTACCGCTGGTTTTAAAGCATGTTTACCTGCCCGGCCGGAGGGTCCCTGTGCCTCTCGGTAAAGCAGAGTGCGACCTGGGGCCCGTGGGCCCGAGCCCCACCGCTGCGAGGGACCCCGGCCCCCCTCCG